TGCACATCAAAGGAAAGTATAAGCAAGGTAAAAAGACAGCCTTCAGAATGGGAGAAAATAATAGCAAATGATGAAACAGACAAAGAATTAATCTCAAAATTATATAAGCAACTCCTGCAGATCAACTCCAGAAAAATAAATGACCCAATCAAAAAATGGGCCAAAGAACTAAACAGACATTTCTCCAAAGAAGACATACAGATGGCTAACAAACACATGAAAAGATGTTCAATATCACTCATTATCAGAGAAATGCAAATCAAAACCTCAATGAGGTACCATTACAAGCCAGTCAAAATGGCTGCTATCCAAAAGTCTACAAGCAACAAATGCTGGAGAGGGTGTGGAGAAAAGGGAACCCTCTTACACTGTTGGTGGGAATACAAACTAGTACAGCCACTATGGAGAACAGTGTGGAGATTTCTTAAAAAACTGGAAATAGAACTACCATATGACCCAGCAATCCCACTCTTGGGCATACACACCAAGGAAGCTAGATCTGGAAAAGACACGTGCTCCCCAATGTTCATCACAGCACTGTTTATAATAGCCAGGACATGGAAGCAACCTAGATGTCCATCAGCAGACAAATGGGTAAGGAAGCTGTGGTACATATACACAATGGAATAAACTCAGCCATTAAAAAGAATTCATTTGAATCAGTTCTAATGAGATGGATGAAACTGGAGCCCATTATACAGAGTGAAGTAAGCCAGAAAGATAAACACCAATACAGTATACTAACACATATATATGGAATTTAGAAAGATGGTAATGATAACCCTATATGCAAGACAGAAAAAGAGACACAGATGTATAGAACAGACTTTTGGACTCTATGGGAGAAGGCGAGGGTGGGATGATCTTAGAGAACAGCATCGAAACATGTATATTATCAAGTGTGAAACAGATCGCCAGTCCCAGGTTGGATGCATGAGACAAGTGCTCGGGGGCTGGTGCACTGGGATGACCCAGATGGATGGGATGGGGAGGGAGGTGGGAGGGGGGTTCAGGATGGGGAGCACATGTAAATCCATGGCTGATTCATGTCAATGTATGGCAAAAACCACTACAATATTGTACAGTAATTAGCCTCCAACTAATAAACATAAATGGGGAGAAAAAAAAAAAAGAAAGTGAAACAGAAGAGTGAAAAAGTTGACTTAAAGCTCAACATTCAGAAAACCTATGTCATGGCATCCAGTCCCACCACTTCAGGGCAGATGGATGAGGAAACAATGGAAATAGTGACAGACTTTATTTTGGAGGGATCCAAAATCACTGCAGCCATAAAATTAAAAGAGTCTTTCTCCTTGGAAGAAAAGCTGTGACCAACCTCAGTTCTGTTCAGTCACTCAGTCGTGTCCGGCTCTTTGCAACCCCATGGACTGTAGCACTCCAGGCCTCCCTGTCCATCACCAGCCCCTGGAGTTCACTCAAACTCATGTCCATCGAGTCAGTGATGCCATGCAGCCATCTCATCCTCTGTCATCCCCTTCTCCTCCTGCCCCCAATCCCTCCCAGCATCAGGGAAAATAAAATGTATAGAAGCTTGACCCCCACACACAAAAAAATAAAAATTTTTTAATAGCAAGGGAAGTGCCAAAAAAAACCTCTCACAGAAAATGACATGAAAGTAGTAGTGACAATAAAAGCAAATATTATTAAAACATAAATAAAACAGATTAGAAATTCAGGTATTAAAAGCAAAGACAGATTACTGGAAAAAAATCAGTAAGGTAGACCATATGTTTGATCACAGACACAGAAGATATGAATAAACCATAATAGGAATGAGAAAAGAGATAAAACTATAGCGACAATACTACTATATAAGTTTATACTATACTGACAAAATGAAATCTAAACGAATTGGACAATTTCTAGGCAAATATGAACTTTCAAAACTGGATAAAGAATAGAAATAAATGTTAAAATATCAATATTATAGAAGAAATTGAAAAGTCTACAAAGATCCATTCCCCTTAAAATGCACTGGTCCCAGATGGTTTATGGATAAGTGCTAGGTTACTGCTAAAAAATAAATCCTTCCCAAAATATGCCAACTGTATCAGACTATAGAAAAAAACAAAAGTTAAATAACTCATTTTATAATGCTAATATAATGATACAAATTCGAGACAAGAAGAGAGTAAGAAAACTGTACACTGATTTCATGTAAGAATGCAAATATAAAAATTTATATAAATATTCACAAATCATCTTCATCATTACATTGAATGGAAAGTATGTACATTCCTTACAACCAGACAGCATTTATCCCAAGAATGCAAGAATGTTTTAACAGGAAAAAAACATTAAAATACTCTACTTAATTAAGTGAGCAAAAGACCATATTAAGTAATCATATTGAGAATTTAATAAAACTTAAATCCTCAGTTAAATTAACAAGATAGCAATAGACAAGAACTTCATTTGAGAAGCATATTTAACAATAAACTTGCAAATATTCTTTTTTTTTTTTTTTTTTACATGTATTCCCCATCCCGCAAATATTCTTAACATGGAAACAAGCATTACAAGTCAGGAATAAAAGAGATGCCTTCTCTCATACTTACTATTCAAATTATTTAGTGATCTTAGCAATAGACAATAATAAAAACAAACTATAAATATTGGGAAAGAATATACAAAACTAAAATTGTTTGCAAAGGATAGAATTACTTATCCAGAAAATTCAAAACAACCAACTAATAATTAGAAGAGAGTGACCAAATACACGACAAAAAAAGTATTCCAGTTCAAAAGCAACATTAAGATAGTAAGAAGATCTTTAATAACAAAGAGCAAACTACAAAAATAATTATGTAGTATAAAAATTAAAATAAAACTGTAGGGACTCACTTTACCAGGTATCAAAACATAAAGTCTATTATCTAGCATAGCATATTATGAGGACTATAACAGACAGAGCTTGAACACAAGAGATCCAAAAATAAATAATTTAATGTTTGATAAACATTGCATTCAGATTTGTAGGCAAAAAGACACTTTGGTCAATAGACAGTATTGACACAATCAGCTACAATTTAGATACAACATAGTGTCCAAGTTCACAACATTCTCAAAAATAAATTATCCATATAAGCATATAAACATTTAAATTATAAAAAATATATATCAAACTAGTTTATTATTTGGTTTTCTTAAAAGGTGTACAAACAAAACTAAAGTTAAAATTGCTATATTTAGCTACAAAGATTTAACTTCTGAAGACATCATTAAAACCTTAAATGACAAGATACAGAGGAGTAGAAAACATTTGCAAAGCCTATAACTTACAATCTGCACCTAAAAATCTAAAAGAGGAATAAAATGGCAAATGAACCAAGAAAAAAAAAATGGCGAAAACCTTTATAAGTGCTTTATAAGGAAATACTTTATAAGTATGTACAAAGAGCCATGTACATAGATAGTTGTAAAATTATGAGGGATTGGGACCAACTGTCTATAAGAAGGAGAATTTCAAAATAGTCACATATTACAGAACACTAATACTATAAGGCCATTTTTTAAATTGAGGTAGCCAAATTCGCATTCTCAGGGGAAGATCTCCAAAATATATTGTTGAGTTTAAGAAAAAAATAAAAGTTGCTGAAAAATAACTACACTTTTATATATGTTTAAGAGGAGAGAGGATCTGGGAGGATAAATACAAAAGTAATAAGATATAAGTGACTCTAAAAGGGGTAAATGGGATTAGTAGAGGTCATTAGTGATTTTTGTTCTTGTTTGGTTTTAACTTCACCTATAAACTCTGAATTGTTGATAATGAAAATGCATTCATTAGCAACTAAACAACAATCATGTTGTACAATCTTATTAAGAAAATGTTTAAAAAGAAGATATATACCCAGCCCCATATGGCCCAGTTGCAAAGCAAGTAAGCAACATAGCTAAGAGACTGCATATGTGCCTCTCTTTTTCTTGCAAGTTCTTATGAGAATCTACATTTGTAGGATAAAAATCTGCAGTGACCCTGGGAGAAACTAATGGGCTACTCCTCGTGTTCTCTGGTTTGGCAAATTGGCAGGATATGAAAGTGGGATCAGCCAGAAAACTTTAAACTATGCAATGAGATCATCCTTGGTTAGTCTGCAATGTAGTCCCTTGAGAGTTTCAGAAAGGAGCTTTTTGGGCAAGGCCACCTTTGGTTCTGGAGGGGGAAAAAAAAAATCACTTGAAGGTTCTTTTAACTTTCTGATACATATTTTAAGCCCTCCCATTGAACCTGGAAAAGATGCTGAAATTATCAAATGTAAAATGTTTCAGCTGAGCAGGCTGTGCTCTGTTAAGGGATGTAAATTGCATGTGCCATTTAACATGTCTTTCTCTTTGCAGATTGTATTCTAATAGGTAAATTTATCTTCCCTGTGTGTGAGTTTCCTACTGATTCTTGGGAGGTCTGTATGCTATTTTTCAAGTCCTTTCTCACCAATAGAGGTGTCTAGAAAAGATATTCACATTTACTGTTTCATCACTGGAGAACAGTGAGAAAAAAAATTAGGCCAGATTGTTGCCCTGAGTGGACTTATGTCCCTTAAGTGATGTTATTTAAGACAAAATAATCCAGATAGTGTCAAAGGAACTTATGTCTGTCTACCACGGGAAGCCTAAGGATAAGGCCACACATCAGAACCTGTGTGTATTTCAGCTTCCCAAAGGAAATAAGCAGCAATACTTATTCTGGCAGGTAGGCAAGTTTTCACAGGTAAATTGGGGCTTCACCTTAAGAGTCAAGTCGCTTTCTTCCCGTGGACGCCGCCGAGAAAGCATCGTTGAAGACTTCAGCACCTCCACTGCCGACATGTCTAAATCAGAGTCTCCCAAAGAGCCCGAACAGCTGCGGAAGCTCTTCATCGGAGGATTGAGCTTTGAAACAACTGATGAGAGTCTGAGGAGCCATTTTGAGCAATGGGGAACGCTCACAGACTGTGTGGTAATGAGGGATCCAAACACCAAGCGAGGTTGATGCGGCCATGAATGCAAGGCCACACAAGGTTGACGGAAGAGTTGTGGAACCAAAGAGGGCCGTGTCAAGAGAAGATTCTCAAAGACCTGGTGCCCACTTAACTGTGAAAAAGATTTTTGTTGGTGGCATTAAAGAAGACACTGAAGAACATCACCTGAGAGATTATTTTGAACAGTATGGAAAGATTGAAGTAATTGAAATCATGACTGACCGAGGCAGTGGCAAAAAGAGAGGCTTTGCTTTTGTAACCTTTGATGACCACGACTCTGTAGACAAGATTGTCATTCAGAAATGCCACACCGTGAATGGCCACAACTGTGAAGTGAGAAAAGCCCTGTCTAAGCAAGAGACGGCTAGTGCTTCATCCAGCCAGAGAGGTCGAAGTGGTTCTGGAAACTTTGGTGGCAGTCGTGGAGGTGGTTTTGGCGGGAATGACAACTTTGGCCATGGAGGAAACTTCAGTGGTCGAGGTGGCTTTGGTGGCAGCCGTGGTGGTAGCAGATATGGTGGCAGTGGGGATGGATATAATGGATTGGGTAATGACAGAACCAATTTTGGAGGTGGCGGAAGCTACAATGATTTTGGCAATTACAACAATCAATCTTCAAATTTTGGACCCATGAAAGGAGGAAACTTCAGAGGCAGAAGTTCTGGCCCCTGTGGTGGTGGAGGCCAATACTTTGCCAAACCATGAAACCAAGGTGGCTCTGGTGGTTCCAGCAGCAGAAGTAGCTATGGCAGTGGCAGAAGGTTTTAATTACTGCCAGGAAACAAAGCTTAGCAGGAGAGGAGAGCCAGAGAAGTGACAGGGAAGCTACAGGTTACAACAGATTTGTGAACTCAGCCAAGCACAGTGGTGGCAGGGCCTAGCTGCTACAAAGAAGACATGTTTTAGACAATACTCATGTGTATGGGCAAAAAACTTGAGGACTGTACTTGTGACTAATTGTGTAACAGGTTATTTTAGTTTCTGTTCTGTGGAAAGTGTGGAGATTCCTTAAAAAACTGGAAATAGAACTGCCATATGACCCAGCAATCCCACTTCTGGGCATACACACAGAGGAAATCAGATCTGAAAGAGACACGTGCACCCCAATGTTCATCGCAGCACTGTTTATCATAGCCAGGACATGGAAGCAACCTAGATGCCCATCAGCAGACAAATGGATAAGGAAGCTGTGGTACATATACACCATGGAATATTACTCAGCCATTAAAAAGAATTCATTTGAATCAGTTCTAATGAGATGGATGAAATTGGAGCCCATTATACAGAGTGAAGTAAGCCAGAAAGATAAAGAACATTACAGCATACTAACACATATACATGGAATTTAGAAAGATGGTAATGATAACCCTATATGCAAAACAGAAAAAGAGACACAGATGTACAGAACAGACTTGTGGACTCTGTGGGAGAAGGCGAAGGTGGGATGTTTCGAGAGAACAGCATCGAAACATGCATATTATCTATGGTGAAACAGATCACCAGCCCAGGTTGGATGCATGAGACAAGTGCTTGGGCCTGGTGCACTGGGAAGACCCAGAGGAATCGGGTAGAGAGGGAGGTGGGAGTGGAGATTGGGATGGGGAATACATGTAAATCCATGGTTTATTCATGTCAATGTATGACAAAAACCACTACAATATTGTAAAATAATTAGCCTCCAACTAATAAAAATAAATGGAAAAAAAAAGAAAGCATAAAACATTCCAATAAAGGGTTTTAATGTAGATTTTTTTTTGCACCCATGCTGTTGATTGCTAAATGTAATAGTCTGATCATGATGCTGAATAAATGTCTTTTTTTTTTTTTAATGTGCTGTGTAAAGTTAGTCTACTATGAAGCCATTTTGGTAAACTACCCCAACAGTGTGAAGTTAGAATTCCTTCAGGGTGATGCCAGGTTCCATTTGAAATGTATTTACTACCTGCTTGGTGGAGAAGCTGTTGTCTGCAGAACCTTGGTGTAGTTGAACTGACAGTTACTGTGTTGTGACCTGGAGTTCACCATTAAAAGGGTCACCCATGCAAAGTCATGGAGTTTTTTGTTTTTTGTTTTTTTATTTTTTTGGTTATTAATGATTGTTGGCACATCCTATGCAATATATCTAAATTGAATTATGGTACTAGATAAAAGTTATAGATGGGAATCAAACTTGTGTATCATCCATTATCATGTGTAATCAATAAAAGATTTAATACCCTCTTGGAAAAAAAAAGAGTCAAGTCAAGTCAAGTCACTCAGCTGTGTCCAACTCCTTGTGACCCTATAGACTGTAGCCCTCTGGGCTCCTTTGTCCATGGGATTCTCTAGGTAAGAATACTGGAGTGGGTTGACATTTCCTAATCTAAATGTAAAGAGATTTACACCTGAAGAGAGTAGGAAACTATTCCCTGTCCTGTGCTTCTGGAAGCTGGCTCCTAGATTAAAAAGGTTTAGGTTCAGAAGTACACTCATTGAGGTGGACAGGGAGGGTACCCCTTTAATATGGGCTCAGGGGCATCTATATAGTAGAACCCATAGCCAGGCAAAGACTGGTCCAGTAGGGCACCCTTATAGAGTAATCCATGCCCCCAAACTAGATTCACCTTGGGTCTATTTACCGTCCCTGTATGTTCATTAATCTGTTTTCTTATTCTCAAAGTTTCAGGTTAAAACTGAATATTTCCTTGCATGGAAGGTTTAAGGCAATAGCCAAGAGATTTTGTTTTTCTGGGGCTTGGGGTTTCTTTGGATTTTTAGCTTGAAAATCCTCTAGCACAATTTAGAAAAGTCTGTACCTTCTCATAATTGCTAACATAACTTCTGGCATATTATAAATATCACCATTTTTTAATCCAATTGTTACATCATTTGTTAAATACATTCCACAGAATATTAAGATTTCATATACTTCATCCATTAAAACATTAACAAGTTCTATTTAAACAGTCAAAACTTTATATCATTTCTTTTCCTCCTAGAACTTATATTTTCAACCCACTTACCCATATAAATTTATCATAATGTAAATTTTATGCTTGAAAGTATTTTATTGACTACCCAATCATAATTCTCTGCAACAAAAGTATATTAATAAAAATTCATTTCATTTCCAGTGGCTGTAAGGATCTAAATGCTAGAGTTTCTTCTAATTAGGTTATTATTCTAATTTTTATTTGTAGGTGATTTTGATAAGTAATTTCAAATGTATGTTTTGGCATGGAGTGCATTTCTTAATGAGATAGATGTGACTTTTTAAAGTTAGTTCATATATACATAGATGAACATTTTTCACTAATAGAGACAATTTATCAATTTTATTTATATATATATAAAAGTAGGTGCAAATGCAAGGAGTTTTATTATAATAATGCCCTTCATTTTCTTTCATTCTTTACAAGATACATGCAAAAACAATAATCAACAAAAATTAAATCACCTAGCCACTGACAACCCCTCTAAAGCTTCCTTCAGCTTCAAGGGAAGAAGAATTGAAATTACTTGAGTTGCAAAATGCTTTGCTACCAATCACTGCACGCATTCACTTTCTCAATACCAGCACCAGAATTCTCAAGTGCCCCCTTGGTTTCTCCCTAGAAGCTTTTCCATCCCAGACCAATGCTCATAGTAAGACCTAGAATGGATGAGACTGATGCCTTTCCTTAACAAACCGTAAAAGTAGAAGAATGGAAGGGGTATCGGAAAACAGAGTCTACAGACCACTGGCATATTCTCAGGCAGATTGGTTTTATGAAAGCATACAGAAATTGAGAATCCAGAATCATTGTTCCTGTTACTCCTTTGGAGGCCATAATGTACCACCAAGGAAGTATTTATCCTAGGTTGAAAACAGGTGGAACAGGTGAAAATGGTAACACCCTGGTCTCGAGATAGATAAATGCTAACTACAGAATGGTTGAGGCACGGATGCCTACCTGAGGTGGCAATGATATTGAGTATATTTGCAGAACTATTTATCATTTCAGAGATTCCCAGAAATATTTGGTGATAAAAACTGGGTTTCTTGCAGTCAATGTGACAGGATCCCAGAGTATTTCAGTATGTATTTGAAACAGCATCTGATTTTTTAATAACAAGAAAAAGCTGTTCTCCTTATTCTCTCAATTACCCAAAAGCAAGAAGAAAAACAAAATGGCAAACTCTACCTTTGATTAAACCTTAACATATCTGTAACTCTGAACACAATATAAGAAGTGTGGCTGCCATATGCAGTGACGATAAACCTGGGGTATAGGAAGATACCAAAGTAAGATGCATGTGGCTGCAAATGAGAAAAACAGTAGAGAAAGCATCTTGGAATATACTTTAAAAGGCAAAAGAAGAAAAACACTGAAAGGTATACTGTATTTTTAAATAGGAAAACTCAACATGACGATTTCAGCACTTTCATAATCTATATTTTTGTACAATCTTAATGAAACTATGAATAGACCTTAAAATTAGACAAGCTGATCATAAAGTTCCTACAGGAGACAACAGAATCAAGAATAGTCAAGATTCTATAAAGGGAAAACAATGAGAAAGAAATGCTCTAGGAGATATTTAACCACATTATAAAGCTAGAGTAATTAAAATAGTGTGGTGCTAATACATGAAGAGACAAATCAATGAAACTTATTAGAAAGTCCAGGAAAAAAAGGAAAAAGACAAATTTTTAAGCCATACAGGGATTACAATAAAATTTAGTTTTCAAATTGGAGAAAATATGGATTATTCAATAAATGGTGTTGGGACATCTGGATAGTAAGCAGAAAAGAAACATTTGGCTTAATACTTCATACTATATAACAGGAAAAAAAAATCCAAATTTAACAAATATTTAAATTTTAAAACCAAAACCATAAAAGGACTATAAAAAAAATGGAAGAACATTTTTATCATCTCAAAATTGGAAAGGTCTTTCTACAGGTGTAGTCACAAAAGAAAATAATGATAAAACTGAACTCTGCAAACATAAATATTCATACATAGAAAAGCCACCATCTATCAAAAGATAACTGACAAACGGGAGAAGTTATTTCCAACTCACATTGTATTCAAAAGCCTAATTTCTTTCTTGTTTAAGAAACAGAAACGATGTCCAAAGAAACCAAGCATGAACAAAGGATATCAAAAGATAATTGTTCACAGAAAGGAAAAATCAAGAAACTCTTAAAAATTAAGGGGAATTCGACCTCAGTCTCAATAAAGAAAATGCTAGTCAAAACTACAAGCTCTAAGTTTTCACTTGTCACATTAGCAATGGGTGAAAACTGGGGTGCACTGGTGATCTTTGAGTTGTCTTCCAACTTCAGTTCCATCCTTCCAAACTCTGGGATGTTGGAGCTAGGGTTGCTCACCACGTCACTGCTTTGCTATCTGGTGTCCTGGTAGGCTCTGCCAGTATAAGATACTGGAGGGGAAGTAGGGTGGGGAGGCTGAAAGCAGAAGAGACTGTCCGCCCTCTCGACTTCCTATTCCTGCCAGTTGGCCCGCAGCTTTTTTTCACTTGCAACATTAGTGCTTAGCCATTGCAGTAGTTGAATCCAATTTGTAGTTTTTCCATCACTTTAAATATAGCGAATGGGAAGTTGCTATATAACACAGGGAGCTGAACCCAGTACTCTGTGACAAGATAGAGCGGTGGGATGGGGGCTTCCCAGCTGGCACTAGTGGTAAAGAACCGCTCTGCTAATGCAGGAAAGACG